AATACATATCAGTCACAGATCAAATACACAAAATTGTTTGCTTAGAGTGAGTAGGCTTTACAATGTACAATACATCATAGAGCTTTTACCAAACAGGAAAAAAAAACAAAGATCAGAAATGTAAGACTTTACCCACATCTATAATAATTTATCACTGTAATAAAATATGATTGTTACCACCTCTGACATGACAGCAAGATGGATCAGCAAATCAGTTTCAATGCATGCCACGAATTCTTTTTTTAACAATTGTTACAGACACAGTATATTCTCATTCTGTGAATACATGCCTCTCTAATCTTTAACTCTTTGGTTGCTTTCTTCGCCTATCTGCATGGTCACTCGTTTGCCACACGTGCAATTTTGCACCAAAAAAAAGGCACCAATTGACGGAAAGATTGCTTTGTGCAACACAATGGCTATGCAAAATTACCCCTTTCTGGTGTTGATTAGCTCCATGACAACCCTTTTAACACCGGAATAAAATCAACTCAGTGTTGAATAATGCTGAATTCAAAGTGACACAGGGACATTATTTGCAACCCGTTTGTCCCGCTTTCTCTCATTCCCCCTTTCTATTGGTTCACACCTCCCCCTCCCCCTCTCATAGTCTCCTTCATTGCATTCATTTCTTCTCTATCTCTCTTCTTCAACTATCCTCCTTTCTTTAACCCCCCCCCCCCCCCCTGGGAGAAAAAAGATTAAAAAACACGTTAATTTTACCTTGTTTTTAGTAGGCCCCCTCCCATGGCGCTCAAAGGGGGGGGGGGGGGGTTAAGATTTTTCAAGGCACCAATTAACAATTAACCCCCCCCCCCCCCCCCACTGAGCGAATTATCGGCCCGCTATTTCTCCGCTAAATATTTTCTCACGAATTGGGCCCCCTCCACAGCCGCCGGATAAATCCGCCCCTGTTGTAAAGCAAACGGAAGGGAAGAACAGAATGAACTGGGATGAGGAGACGTCCCTGGTCGTTTCCCACATGTACACAATTTTTTTTGAATTCTTGTTGCTATTTCTTTATATCCTGATGGTAATACCCAGAAAACTATTTTTCTTCTATTTTCATAACATAAAAATTGAAAATACGCTTTATGACCATATTTTATAATTATAAAAAACAATTTAGATTAAGGATTTGGAACGGAAGATAAAGGAAAAATATATTCAGAGTTGAAAAAAGTTAAAAGAAGATAAAAATAATGTGCTGTTTTTTCACAATTTGTTTAATTTGAACTTTTTAAGAAATTGTCCATTTCAATCGTCATGTTTGTTGAAAAAAATTGATAGTTTTCAAGCACTACACCACACAGGAATTTGGCAATGCCGAAATCCCATGGATATTTGAATACCATTTGCACAAATTTCCAATTTGTCCAATTTTGTTCAAACCTTTACCCATCTGCTCCGTTGGTATTTCTGGTTTATTTAATAGCAACTTGCTATTAAAGGGAATGTCTAACCTGATATTAATTGGTTTTAATAAGCGGGGGAGAATGAGAGAAACAAATTAGTGAAAGTTTGAGCAATAGCCGATTAAAAATGGGAAAGTTATGAATTTTTTAAGTTGTCATCAGTGAAACACAAATTGGCAACACTGTGACATGTCTAATTGCAAGCTCCTCTCCCATTTCCTTTGTAAATAAAATGTTTTAAACTTTCATTTCTTCAGTTATTGATGACGGAATAGATTCGTTGCACACGGGGGTTGCAAAAAGAGTCATTTGTAATAATTACATTTAGGGTAAATGTATGAATGAAAATATTCCTATAGGAAAATAATGATTTTAAAGTTCTTTAGTATACGTGCCCAGGGCAAATTGGAAGGGACCCCAAAATTTACGTCTCAGAGTTGCCAATTTGTGCATAATTTCTGTCTTATTTCTGCTTCTATTAAAACCAACTTAAAATCAGGGTGGATTTTCCCTTTAAGATTGGATTCAGATATGTAAAAACATCCATCCCATGCTAAATCAAAGGCATGTTACTGAGAAGAAAACAAATCTTCAGAGATAAATGCAATTCGTGAACGATTATTAAACTTGTTTAGATCAATGTTTAAGATTCCTAACTTCCTTAACCTTATTGACAATATTTTGTCTCTGTTCTTTAGTAATCTGTACAAACAGCACGATATGTTATCAACAAGAAAAAAAGCATTTATTCGAAAGTGAAAGGTGCACATGTCAAAATAAACGGGGCCCCGGCCAAAAAAAAAAAAAAAAAAAAAAAAATGGTTGTGACCACAAATGTTCCTTCTTTTTCCCTGTTTTTGCTCAACAGGGGGGGGGGGGGGTAGTGAGTTAGTTCACTCCCCCTCCCCCCCCCCCCACACCCCACACCACACCACCCCCCCCACCCCCACCCCCTGTTGAGCGAAAATAACGGTATGCGTAATTTCCGAATTTCTGCCCCCCCCCCCCCCCCCCCTATTGGAAAATCCTCGACCGGCCACTGATCGCATGTAACTGTTTGCGGAGTGTAATTCAAGATACGCTAAGCGTATTCAGATTGGTATTCTCTTCATTAGTAAATCATTCACAATTTATTTGTCCATTTGCGTATTTTATGCTATAATACCTGACGTTTTTGTAAGGTTCAATATAAATATAAACTACATAGGGTTTAAAATGTCAAAACCCTTATTTCCAGAAAAAGTCGGGTGCGATATGTATATATAAGATTGTTCTTATTCCCAAATTACATGAATGTATAAGGACTAAAAATCATAACCTTATTTTTCTATTCTTTAGTCACCTGTATATACATATACGGCACTTAGAGTCGGCGTAAAAACGTGAAAAGTGACTTTTTTGACAATTCCCAGGAATACCGCCCGTTAAAAAAGGAATCATATATATATATATATATATATATATATGTATGTCATTATAATTATGCTCGCATGACCATATGATGACATTTCATAAACCATCGACTCAGTCGTGATCACCCCAGTACGCAAACGATCACACACCAATATGGATATGAATGGATGATAGCTACCTACCTTGTATCAATATCGGAAAACAGACGAAAAGGGACAGAGTTGATAAAAACAGTGTCAGCACTTTGAATGTTGCCATTTTCTCCAGTAGTCTCCGCAACCTCCACATCTCACACTCGATTTCCAACACGTATTCTCAATCAGCTAGCAATCCGTATACGGTGGACTCTCACCCGACATTCAGTGTGAATATCCACATACACCTTCCTAGTCAGATGGCGTCTGTATACATCTTTTACCCGGAACTAAATCCATGATGTTAGTCTGTCATCAAGTCTCTCGCGATAAAACTGATGGCAGGGCAATCAAATCGAAATTAATTTCAAAGAAATTGTGTTGACCATTGAAGAGAAGGTTCATTGATTTAAACAAAAACAACTTTATTGTCATTATTGCAAAGGTGAAACTTTGATTAGACAAGGTTATCAAAATTCAATGCTTGGAAACATTCGAAGTACTGATTATTATCAATTACAACACGCTTAAATACAGCCCCGGCATATCACCTGAAAAGCTCTCCGAACGCTACTGAGATGTGTGACGTCACAATCATGTTTAACATGATTTGCACAAGCAGACGATTTCCAATGACATCTCACCCATTTTCAATGCCTGTTTTGTCATTTTCTCTTCAGTTATTTCTTTTACTTCACTTACCGTCAGGATAAATGTTTATTCAATTGCCTCACTCTAAACCCCGCGCATGGTATTATTTTGATGAAAAATGCGGCGATAAAAAAATAAAGGAATCCACCCCATGTAAACAAAATTAGACGCCATTGTATTTTCAGCTGCATACACCGCGATATATTAAAGAGGGAACAATTGCCGTCCATGCCCGTCATTCCGGGGGTTTGTCAATTTGAAAGTGTGGTTTCGTTCACTGTTCATTATCCCCTATCCTGTGTATTTACAAACAAAAGATATTTAGTTATCAGAATCGGTTTCACTTCCCTCATGGTGTAAAATGCCATAACATTTTTTATACACTAACCTCATTATAATTTGAGAAATAATAGCATTGCAATTATGTTCATTCTATATGGGAGGTATTGTGTATTGTTCGTCTTTTATTTTGACGCTTCACTGCTTGAGTAACATCTGCATTTCGGGAGGTATTTGGTATTTCAGTTTTCCTTCTAATTTGGTACAGTAAATTGAGCAGAATAATTATATGGGTCAATTTCTGGCACCGGGATGCGTTATTTTTTTCGGCGTCACAGATTGGGGTTATGTGCGTGTTTAGCCTATGGGAAAGTTTAGGGTTAGGGTAAGGGTTAGGGTTAGGGTTAAATCAAGACCCCTTTAAAAAAAAAAAAATCTGTGCCGCTGAAGAAAATAACGCCACCGGAATAGGAATTCTACGGGCAAATTATGGGCCAACTGAACATAATACTTGTCATACAAATTGCAAATTTTTTGTAGTATCGAATTAACTCTAATTTTTCTAATCTCTTTTGTTAATTTAGGATAAAATCTGATGGATAGTGACAAAGATTAAGATCTGTAATTGATACCTATTGTTCAGGGGGGGGGGGTGATCTATTCATTCATCCCCCCCCCTGAACAATAGGTATTACGTAAGGATTGACGCCTATGATAGTGACAAAGATTAAGTTTTTAGCCGATAGTATCAAAAGCATGAATTTGTCGCTTATCATGGTGTTGTGAAACAAGATATGACTGTCATGGAGTTGGTTTCGAAAAACTACTCCGTAAGTTCTCACAATAGTTTGCAACGTTGGTTTTGCCGGAAACACAAATACATGCAGTGTATGTGACTATGGCTTATTTTGCAGCCCTAATTTGATGCTCACTTTACATAGCAATTAGTGTCGGGTATTTAGGCGTGTGCAGGGAGTGTGCTGAATTAAGCTTGACTCCCGCGCTCGCTTATACAGTAATCGTTATTGTTGTCCAATTTCAAAATCAAGTTTTATACCTGAAAAATAAGAAGAAAAAAAAACCTGCACTTATGAAATTCTTTTCCTTTAACAGGTTTAGGAGAGCAATATGATTGGGTTACCTTTGAAGATGGATTGAAGCTAGCCAAAGAGAAGTAAGTTGATGATAAGTAGCTTATTCAATGGTTAAAACCCATACATCACTTTTTTTTTAATACATTTTTTTTCTCTTCAAATGGGTGATGCTGATTGGTGTTTTTCTAGTAGGAAATAAATGATTTCCTGAAGTTATGCAAATTTTTTGTGGAGTATTGATTTTAAACGTAAACATGTATATATGTTGCCAACTTAACACATATCTAGAGCCTAGGTGTTGTGATCTACATGTGATGGATAAGCCTCCCTAGCAGACCAACTATTTTAGAGGGCATGATTGGCAGGCATATGGTTTTCATACAGAGTCATCATATTTGTATATTATCACGTGATCTCTAATAATATTGTTATTTCAGCAACAAACCTTTGATGTTGGTCATTCACAAGACTTGGTGTGGAGCATGTAAAGGTGAGTAATCTCACACTCTTCATTTGAGATCGAATGACAGACATATAGTGAAGGAAGCAGGAAAGTTCTAGATGTATACTTTATAAGAAAACTTTTTGACAAATATGAAGTGAATAATGCATGCTGGAACAGTGGAAACAGGTTAGGTTTTAATGAGGAACAGCTACAGGTTTGAATTTTAAATGGACCTGCTTTATGAGATGTGAGTTGATCTAGTGGTACATTCACTTGGCAAGCTTTCTGTCTTTCCTACTAACTGGCTCAAGCGTACCTTGGCAACAGGTCGGTCCCCAGACTTATAGTAGATAATCATATCATGTCTGTAAGAACCAATTCTGACCCACACACACACACACACTCAGGTCCAAATCCTTCTCAACAAACTTTACTCATGAAATATTAGTCATGAAATTTGTTTGAAAATGTTTCAAAATATGGCTTAGAGTGAACCAGATCAAGAGTATCTTAACCAAATAGACAAGAGCCCCTAAGAGAGCCCTGAACCCTGCTTCGAAGGACTTTACGTTTTGAGGCCATTCTCCTTCCAAGCTGCATTGTTACATGCTTGGACTTTTGTTTTGGAGCACCCTGGCCTGGTGGAAGTATTTGTTAAATTGTTAAGATTTCTAACCTGTGAATTCTGGGACCATTGCCCCCCGAGACTACCCTAATAGGCCCTCATTATTTTATAAAAAGTATCCATAATTTCTGCAATAAACTTTTTGGTCTGTATTCTGCAAAACTTTGATCCCCGTGCTGGTCTTAGTTTTAGTTTTAGTGCAAAATCAGGTTTTAACAAGGAAGTATGTCTCAGCTCTACATTTTCTTAGTTAAAAATTATCTAAGACCTGCATTTAACAACTAAATTATTCATACCCTTACCTTGATAATCATCATATTTGTCAAATATAGCTAAATACTGACAGTGGCTAGACTAATATATTTGGCTACTCACAATCTAAGTCATGAAGTCTTAGCCTCATACATGTTATACAGGCCCAACAAGTTTCAATTCAGACCCTGCATAGAAAAAAAAAATAGTGCAGAGCCCTGTTGTAAAGTGACGATTGCTTCTTTTCCTGATGAATGTTATCTCATTGTGACACCTGCCATTGTGTTCCACACGTTAATACCTCTCTGTTTTCCTTTCCTGTTTTTACCATGTAGCATTAAAACCCAAGTTTGCTGCCAGTGAAGAAATACTTAAATTAAGCAGTGACTTTGTGATGGTCAACGTAGAGGTGAGTAGTCATTTTAAAATGCTATACATGTATATATTATATAATATAATATTATATCTCAGTAGTTCAAAACAGAGTCGGGTTTACTTTTGGCTAAAAGACAACTTGGCCCAACTGCAAAAACGGTCAGTTTTTGCAGGTTTAGGGTTAGGTTAAGGGTTAGGGTTATGGTTAGGGTTCGAGTTAGGGTTAGGGTAAAATGACAAAAACTGACCGTTTTTTGCAGCTGGGTCGACTTGTCTTTGAGCCCAGTTAGCCCGGGTTCTTCAAAACATGTTCACGTATCATGGATGATATTTTTGGCCAATCTAAAACTAGAATGTGAATGTGTATTCCAGATTTGCCTTCAGCCCCTTATTTTGAACATTTTATGCCAGGATTATTGACAATAGTAATTTCAAATGATACAAGGCACTATCCTCAAGTGTATAAACAGGTTAAAGTGCACTAATCAAAGGAAATATAAATGTGAGTATACATGTACCTAAAATGTATAATACCACCCCCCCCCCCCCCAAAAAAAAAAAAAAAAAAATTAAACAAATAAAGGATAACATAAAATCCTGCATAAAAGGCTCACACAGAATTTAAGTCACACTTGGGTTTCGTGCACACCCTAGTATGCGAGTGCATAATTATGTGTTGGCTTTTTATTGAGAAAGTATTTAAACTATAATATGTCTTTGTAGAAATAATATTTGAAGCTTATATTTTGAATTCAATAGAGCGACTTGGAACCCGTTACATCACGAGTAAGATATTTTTTGGTTATCGGTTCACTTTAAGTACATGAAGTTGAATTGGTATGTGTTTATTTTCTTTTTTGAAGAAGTGAAGGGAATTAATATCATTAAAACATGCAGGGAATTAGTTTCTAAACTTGTGGGCCAGTGAATCAAAAGATTTACTTTGGAAGTTGAGAAAGTAGGAATTGATGTTGATAGAAGTATATATGATGGTACTGAAAGGGTTAAGATATCAAACTTTCATTGTGATGTTTTGTGATGTTTATCTTCCCCAGGATGACGAGGAACCTGAAGGGTCTCAATTTCAGCCCGACGGTGGATACATTCCTCGTATACTCTTTCTAAACTCAGATGGCGTAGTTCAACCTGACCTAATCAACACGTTAGGAAATCCCCAATACAAGTTCTTCTATTCAAATGCTCTAATGGGTATGTACAGCTTGTTGTGAGTGATACAGTCATGTATATGTTTAGTAGGTTATATAAACACTTCCTATAGATATTGATCTGCCGGATTAGAGGCTGGGGGTTGTAATATGTAGCCCCTTCCCCCACCTCCACCCAACGTTTCGAATAGACAGGTACAAACAATACTGTGACATTGCAAAACAAATAATATGCTTGGTTGCATGCTCAGCCAAATGTTCCTTTCAACATGTTTTGCATCTCCTGAACAATATACATACATGTACATGTACTTCAAATTCAAATCTGCAAAAAAGTAAGTTGAGAATTCTACAAAATAAGGTACAAATAATAAAGATCCCCTGCTAAGGCTGCTAGTGATAATGTAAGATCTAAACGATCTTAGTTTTTGTTTGGTTCCCTTACTTCTTTACCAATTATTAAATTGTGTAACAACTTCTTTCCAAATCTTATTTTACCTCTTATTGCCACGTTTCAAATCTTTGTCATATAATAATTAGCTTTTTATGAAATAGATCAATTGTGATATTTTGGGTTCCCACTTCTCTTCCAATTATTAAAGTGTGTAACAAGTTCTTTTCAAATCTTATTTTCCTCCTATTGCCACTTTTCAAATCTTTGTCATATAATTAGCTTTAAATGACATTTTTTAATCACGGTTTCTCTATTTTGATATCTTTTTTGTGGTCTCTCATTCATCCCCTACAGTGACTGAAGCAATGAAATCTGCAGTCAAAGCACTAGGAGGAAGCAAAAATGATGAGTTGTGACATGGATCTCTAGTTTAAACTATTTATCAAGCAATAATGGCAGGTGCCCACTCTTGTGATGTAAACACTAGGGCCCGAACTCACAAAGGAGGTTTAACTTAACCCATGGTTACTTTAAACCCTCATTTACATAACCCATGGTTTAAAAATTAGTGCAAAATAGGTGTTGCTTGCCTTGCGCGCGTCTAATATTGGACCTCTGACTGTGTCGCGCTGATGGGTTATGTAAATAAAGATTTAAACCATGGGTTGAATTTAAACCTCCTTTGTGAATTTGGGCCTTTATGATTTGTCTATTCAGAGACAGAAAGGTGCTAACTCTTTCTAAAAGTGTATGACAGGCCTTTTGATGTCCCTTACTAATACTACTTATCTTGAAAATAATAAGACATTTAAACATCACTTTTGTCACAATACGATACAAGTAAAGCACAAGTTCACCATTCTCTGATGGTCAGAATAACATTACCTCATATAATGTATACTATTTATATGTGATGCAGATATCGTCCCTTTGCCACATGTTAGCCAATATTGTTTTTTTATGGGATAGATATAGGCCTACCAAAGGCTTTCAAGATTATTTAACTATGTCCAGCGCAAGATAAATCTATACTGATATTAAAAGGGTTGTCATGGAAATAATCAAGACCCTAGTAATGGGTAATTTTGCAAAACTATGATGTACAATAAATCGTGTCATTTAGTAGTGCCTGTCGTTTTGTGCACGTGTGGTAAACAAGTGACCTTGCAGAGAGTTGAAGAAAGCACCCAAAATGTTAATGCCCCACTGGCTTTCGAGTGTAAACTTTGTTTGAAGTTAATATTGTACTGTGGTCAAAACAGATATATTTATATTGTAATGGTTCGTTCGTTCATGTCTTCTTAGATCAGGATAGTTATGTAAAGTTCCTTAATTAAATTAAATTAAATTAAGTTCTTCCATCGCCCGATTGCTGCAATGGCCGTTTCATTAACAAGGGCCAGGTCTTCATCTGTAACAGTGATTCATGCCTTTGAAGATAGTTCGTGGTATACTTGGTCAAAAATAATAGTTTCTTTGAGACCAACATCATATACATACACACTTTAGTATTCAACATCACAAAGTGGATACTTAGTTAGAATAGGATACTTAAGAAAGGATTTTAGGAGTGATAAGATTTGTTAGGTGCATGAAAATGATTGCTTAGTCTATAGGCCTTTATAGTTGTATACTCTGTTAGTATGGGCCTTTATAGTTGTATACTTTTACAGACAAGTGCCTTGGAATACTCATATTTTGAGGTATTTTGAGGTACTTTGTGGATTAATCTGACAGTCCTTGACCCATACCATGCAAAACTTCATTATACTTATAGAGGTGGAAAATGATTTTTATACATTTTTGTATGAAATGCATGGACTGAGTATTACACAAAATACCTATATTAGACTCATGATTCTGGGCCCTGTTTCATAAAACTGTTTATGAATAACAAATGCTAAATTGCTATGACAAATTTACAAATTTGCTCTCAGCCAATCAATGCCACGATTTGAGTAGCTTATAAAAGTTATGGTACCTTGTTACGGATGACAAGTTTTGTGAAACAGGGCCTTGGTGTCTGGATAAAATGTTTTAATATTAATTTAAGGTGATTCATATTTATCCAAGCTCATAGTTGGAATAACATTCTTTTTTTTCTACAAAATCATGGACAGGCAATTGGTTCTTGTCAAATTGTCACAGATGATTACTTTTCTAATTGGTAGATGGACTAAGCAAAATACATTCTAGAGGTGACATATACATTGAGTAACAAAAGATCCTAGTTTGAATTTATTAGGCTGTGTATGTTATCTAGACATTTATAGAATGTTATTACACTGCATGAATAAAAAAGGAAAAAGATAAATATCAATAGTAATTCTGTCCATGATAACATTTCATATTCTTTCGTGGTAACCTGATATTTGTTTAGGTGACATTTATGGTTAGGGCTAGCATTGTGATTGGGTTACCGTTAGGTAGAGGTTTAGGTTAATGTACAGAGTTGGGACTAGGGTTAAACATGAATGTAGAATAGACTCGTGCAGGAGATAGAAGATAGACCATGGAGCACATGTCATCTGATCTTTTGTGTCCTATAACACAGTTGCTCTCTCCCTTTCTTCATAATATGAGAGATAGAGAGAGAGAGAGAGAGAGAGAGAAAGAGAGAGAAGAGGGGGGGGGGGTGGGAGAGATAAACACACTTGTCTGTTGTGTCGCTCGGTACATTATACAATTACAGTAAAATATAAGTAATTGAAGTAAGAAGTAGGGATATAGAGGAGAATTGAGTGAAGGGGACATAAGGAGTGAGAGCTAGTAGGAGGGAGACAAGTAGAGAAAGAGAGAGAGAGAGAGAGAGAGTGGGATAATGAGTGGGAGAGAATGAGATGAGGGAGAGAGAGAGAGATGAGGGAGAGAGATGAGAGAGAGAGAGTGGGATAATGAGTGGGAGAGAATGAGATGAGGGAGAGAGAAGAGAGAGAGAGTGTGATAATGAGTGAGAGAGCATGAGATGAGGGAGAGAGAAAGAGATGAGGGAGAGAGAAGAGAGAGAGAGAGAGTGGGATAATGAGTGGGAGAGAATGAGATGAGGGAGAGAGAAAGAGATGAGGGAGAGAGAAGAGAGAGAGAGAGTGGGATAATGAGTGAGAGAGCATGAGATGAGGGAGAGAGAAAGAGATGAGGGAGAGAGAAGAGAGAGAGAGAGAGAGTGGGATAATGAGTGGGAGAGAATGAGATGAGGGAGAGAGAAAGAGATGAGGGAGAGAGAAGAGAGAGAGAGAGAGTGGGATAATGAGTGAGAGAGCATGAGATGAGGGAGAGAGAAAGAGATGAGGGAGAGAGAGAGAGAAAAGAGAGAGAGAAGAGAGAGAGAGAGAGAGTGGGATAATGAGTGGGAGAGAATGAGATGAGGGAGAGAGAAAGAGATGAGGGAGAGAGAAGAGAGAGAGAGAGAGTGGGATAATGAGTGGGAGAGAATGAGATGAGGGAGAGAGAGAGAGATAAGAGAGAGATAAGAGAGAGAGAGAGTGGGATAATGAGTGGGAGAGAATGAGATGAGGGAGAGAGAGAGAGATGAGGGAGAGAGAAGAGAGAGAGAGAGTGGGATAATGAGTGGGAGAGAATGAGATGAGGGAGAGAGAAAGAGATAAGAGAGAGAGAAGAGAGAGAGAGAGTGGGATAATGAGTGGGAGAGAATGAGATGAGGGAGAGAGAAAGAGATGAGAGAGGGAGAAGAGAGAGAGAGAGAGTGGGATAATGAGTGGGAGAGAATGAGATGAGGGAGAGAGAGAGAGATAAGAGAGAGAGAAGAGAGAGAGAGAGTGGGATAATGAGTGGGAGAGAATGAGATGAGGGAGAGAGAAAGAGATGAGGGAGAGAGAAGAGAGAGAGAGAGAGTGGGATAATGAGTGGGAGAGAATGAGATGAGGGAGAGAGAAAGAGATGAGGGAGAGAGAAGAGAGAGAGAGAGAGTGGGATAATGAGTGAGAGAGCATGAGATGAGGGAGAGAGAAAGAGATGAGGGAGAGAGAGAGAGAAAAGAGAGAGAGAAGAGAGAGAGAGAGAGAGTGGGATAATGAGTGGGAGAGAATGAGATGAGGGAGAGAGAAAGAGATGAGGGAGAGAGAAGAGAGAGAGAGAGAGTGGGATAATGAGTGGGAGAGAATGAGATGAGGGAGAGAGAGAGAGATAAGAGAGAGATAAGAGAGAGAGAGAGTGGGATAATGAGTGGGAGAGAATGAGATGAGGGAGAGAGAGAGAGATGAGAGAGAGAGAAGAGAGAGAGAGAGTGGGATAATGAGTGGGAGAGAATGAGATGAGGGAGAGAGAGAGAGATAAGAGAGAGAGAGAAGAGAGCTAGGTGATTGGGGATAAAGGAGAGAGGAGGAAGGGAGTGAGATACAGATATTTTTTTCTTCTATCTATCCTCTTTCGAGGGAATTTATTCACTCATATTGTAAAATAACAACTATTTACAACAGTGTTTATATACAGAATTCATATCATATATACCGGGTGAGTCAAAATAAAGTTTACACTCAGAAAATTGTAATTTATTTTAAAAGTCAGCTATGAATGAAAGATTATCATACATGTTTTGAACGAGTGTTATGTCCCGAATCGTTTGGTATCATTTTTGTGTGGTGTGTTCACGTTTGGATGAACAGGAGACATTGTTTGCGAGAGTGAAAGAATCGACTTGCGCAAAAGTATCAAAGGAAGAGAATGAATTGAATGTATCATTATGAGATGCATTGCAATATGCTTTTTTCAGAAGCAAAGTCACACACACACACAAACACACACAAGGAACACACACACAAAGCACATTTAGATGCAGACTGACAGAGCCTTTTGGGAGAAACAATTCATTGTGATGCACCAGATATTATGGCATTATGATTGAATTTATATTCCGTTTTGATATTAAACGGAAAATTTGCGATTTTACAGAAATGTTCATTACGTAATAATGACTTGGCTGCGTGTATTTTTCATTTATCTGAGTGTGCGAGTGCGCGGAAGTGTGTTTGTGTGTGTTTGTGTGTTTGTGTGTGTGTGTGCGTGACTGACTGGGTTTGACTCTGTGTGTGGTTTTTTTATATGTATGGCTCGATTAGTTTTCTTAGGGATGTTTTTAGGATCTGTAAAGAGCGAATTAATACCCAATCCCAATTGTTTTGATAAAACATATCGGCATCACTTTGGCGCAAGTCGATTTTTGCACTCTCTTAAACAATGTCTCCTGTTCATCCAAGCGTGAGCACATGCCACACAAAATAATACCAAAAGATTTGGGATAAAACTCTTTTTCATAAGATGTATAATAGTTTACTGTTTATATTTTAGTTACTTCCTTTGTATCGAATTTGTTATGATTTCATTCCATATTGAGATAGGTGCGAATTTCTACCTTTAATTGTATTATCAAATACATCATGTATCCTGTGCTTTTCACTTCCAAAAATTCTCTAATATAGTTTCTATAGATAACAAATTGAGCGAGGTTTAATATAAGATTTACAAGATTTATTTCACTTTTCTCTATTTCATGACCTATTAAATGAATTTTTTCGTTTATAAAGATTTTAAAATTAAACGAAGTATCCATTAATTTGAATACAAGCTTCCAAAAAAGCGAAACCTTGTGACAAACCAGGAAAAGGTGGTCAATTTTATGTGGGATCTGTGTATCTGTGAACTATTTACATATTGTATCCTATTACGTAACTTCTGCAACCAAAAATCGGAAATACACTATTTAGCTTTGCCAATTCGAAGGCAGAAAGTAATTCATTTTCTTGAAAATAATATAAATGGAATAACCTTCTTTCCAAATACTGTTTACTAAGACTTGTAACACTCTTAGTATATTATTTCTTATCCAGTTTGGAAATGCAATATTTTTAATATCGCTATTATACCAAATCATTTCAATTTCGATATCTTTACTTTAAACATATAAATGTATTTCAATTTACCTCAGAAACAAAACATGTCAACATAAAAATTAGGCCACTTTTTTTTCTACAAATACGATACTGTGGCTGCAGCGAGGTCGATATCAAATAAACAAGTCTGAACAAAGGCTTCTACGGGAATTTGTAGCCTTTAATGATTTGAGTAACCATTTAATCCGTT